TGCACAATAATTTTTTGAAGATGGTCAAAATAGCATTTATTATTCTACGGTATACCAAACTTCAAATAAATAGGCAAATAGTTGGCGAATGAATTATTTTGCAACCTTTTTAAAAGATATTATGGGTAAGTAAAATACTTTGCCACATAATTAAAGTCGGGTTATGCCACATGGAAGACCACAATCTGAGATCGAGAGGGTTGTAAGTGAGCACCTCGATTTGGTACCACAAGACAACACACATGACACACCTCAGCTCCAAGAGGGGTATGAAATCATAAGACCCACAAGTCACATCCCTCAGATTCCCTATAGATAGGGAATTCCCTTTGGGGACAAATACGTGACATCATCGATGTTAAACTTGACATTATTTCGATCAATATTAATTTAAGCATTAGAGTGTGTTGCACACAACACCATACTAGTACATGTTATCACCTCGAGGAGATGCGAGTCACCTTAGCCTCCACCTCAGCAATTTTCATCTGTGCAAGAATCACACCTAAAAATTTGGCATGTATGTGAGGAAGAATACCCTTGAAAGTGTTCTATCCCAATTCATAATTAACACGAAGATAGGTGTTGACCAGTGAATACCTAAATATTGTCCTATAAATATTTCATTCTTGAGTTATTATACCATATCAATTTTATTTGTAGATCTAATTTCAAATTTGTGTTATTAATCATAAGAGTGAAAATGTATTTGAAAAAAAGATTACAAAAATTACTTAACGATAAGAAAAAAAATAGAGTTTAGCTAACCATCAGATAGAGTCTAGCAACCCATCCAAAACGATGTGCAATTAAGGGACCACAAAATTAAAATTCTCTTGACAAAAAGCATGTCAATAATAAAAAAGTTTCCCCAAAAAGAATGGATATTCAATTTCCTTTATAAATAAAAGAAAAAAGGATATTCAATTTCACTAGGCATTAGATCATCCGCACACCCTTCTTAATAGTCTCAATAATACAAATTCTTTACTATTTTATTGGTCCTCCACATAAAAATATATTAGCTCTTCTTTGGAAAATAGAACACCGAATTCAATATTAATTAAAATAGTTGTTTATAGACGATATAAATTTAAAAATAGATCAAAACCTATAGTATATTTATATTCTTTGTCTATTTTTAGTTTAGTATTCATTTTTATCTCCATATTTTTAAAAGGTGGATTATAGTTCTTAAATTTTTTAAAAATAACTATTTTGATATTTGCTACATTATTTTGTCACATAATATTTATTTATCTAATACTTACCTTCAATCAAGGTAGTTTAAATGTACATTTGTGGAAAATCGTGCTATTAATTGGTTAAAAGTCTTTTACAAAATAGTTATCTTTTTTAAATTTAGGGATATACCGACCCTCCATAAATCCAACTTAAATGGTTGGATCGACATTGTGTACAACCAATATATAATTCTGACTCCTTTCTTTTTTCTTTTTTTTTTTCCAAATAGAAAGTAAAAAATAAGTTTAAACTTTATTTCGATACTAGAACTTTTCAAATATTACTATTTTAATATTAAACATTAAAAAGATAATAATTTTAATCTTCACTTTAATTTAGTCTTTGAGGCTAATAATGGGGGAGTAGATATTAGATGACAAAATTATGGTAAAGATATTTTTAAAGCTTATTAACTAAAATAGACATTTAAAAATTTTGCATTAACACAATAAAACTGTTGGGTAAATATACGCTGTATATATAAACTGAATAACATTAGTAACAATTTATAACGTAACTAGCTACAAACAATTATAGATCTCCTGCATCAAGATTTCTCCAGGTCAAGAACTGTAAGGGTATTTTCGTAAGTTTGAAAAAAAATATAAAAATAAAAAAATTTGGGAAATTGTTGGAAAAAAAAAGTGGGTTTGTGTGTGAGCTGCGGAAGACAACACGTGGAAAGGAGGAAAAAAAACAGAAAAGAAAGAAATTCGAAATGGAAGGGGTTTTGGAGAAAAAAAAACAGAGAGGGGGGAGCGAGGACTGAAAAAGGTGGATAACTCAAGGTTGCGGAAAGGGAAGGAGAAGAAGCGTTGTGATTTTAGAGCCAAAAGTTGAAATTTGGTAAGTTTTCTAGAGATTTATTAGGGAAACCCATGGAAGTATGGAACTCTTTAAGATTGGGTTTTGTGGGTTTTCTTCTTAAGGAAATTCCTGGTTTTTGTGGGTATTATGCTCTGTTCATACATCTCCCCGACTTCCATGGGCATGGCTGAGAACAAAGTGTGATTTTGTGGTATTTGATTATTAAAACAAAATAAGATTTTTTTTCTTTGTGGTTTACTCAAATATGGAAGTTGGTTGAAAAACTGGTGATGTTATGTTGATTCAAGAATTGAGAATTTATGATTTCAGTGAGCTGTGAGGATGAGTTTGCTGGAAAGGAGAAAG